TTTTACATTTGGAAAATATATTTACAAAAAAAATTAAAATTAAATACATTTAAAAAAAATTAAAGTATAATATTATTTAAATAAATTAAGAAACAAAATCAAAGATTATTTCATAAAAAAAGGAACAAAATAAATTGTTAATTTCAGATAATATTCAATTATTAAATTATATAAATAAAAGATAATTATAAAAAAATGTCATTATTATTTAATCAAGTAAAAAAAAATTAATTATAAAATATATTTTAAAAAATTAAAAAAATTAAATATATATTTAAAAAAATTAAATGTTAACAGTTTTTGGCCGACTGTTAGAACAGTCAAGACAAGACCCGACTGTTAATAGTCGACGTCTTTCTCCCATTCCTCTCTTCGTCGGAAATCGCCATTTTTTACGACGAAAGGTTCAAAAAATTACAAAAAATTCACATTCTCTACCAAAGCACCACACAATCTAGTTACTTGTGCTAGTATTAAACCGAATAAATGTAAAAAAATTCAATTGATTAATAACAAAAGTTACAAATTTATGCGAGAAAACTAACCGAAATAGTTTCGCCCGGTGGTCGATAGCGATCATCAATCGAAGTCGTGGCGTCGGTCAGTCCATGGTTGATCGGACTGTTTCTGTGGCAACTGAGGCGTCGGTTTTCTTTTGGATCGGTCGGTTAGGTTTCGAAAACAATTTGTAATTTTGAAGGGTAAAATCACCATTTTGTGTGTAAAGTTATTTTTTAACTAATTTTTTTTTTTTTAATTGACTTAAGGGTTAAAGACCAATCTTAAAATTTGCTACATTGGTTGAATCATTTTTGTGTATTTCCTCTCGTTACGGTGAACTATTAGTATTACTATGTAATGAGTTTATAAATAATCTTAACGTATATTTTCCTCGTTCACAAACCAAACCCTAGATCCCAAAATCCGTAGCAATTCGACCACCTCAAGTCTGATATCCGGGTCAGATATTTGAAATTTTCATTAGGGAATCCAATCCGTCATTCAGGTTCGATTTTATGTCTTTTTTTATACTGAATTTTTGGTTTCTATTTTAGGAATTTTAATTTTGTTGCATTTGTTACAGTTTAATTTGTTGATTAAGCATGATATTTTCATAAAAATGTGTGAAATTAATAAGATTAAGTCAGCTGATTTTTTTAGTTCATTTAGTGATTTTGAAGTTTTGATGCTTATGATGGACACACGATTTGTTTAAGTAAATTTAATTTCCCAAATTATTGAATTTTGCAATACTGTCTTTTTTGCATCTACAACTTGGACGTTGTAAATTCCTTCGTAAATCACATTCTGATATGAAGATGGATCGTACCTTTGTATATTTCCAGTGATTGTTTTTACAAATTTGCCCATTTCCTTCTGAATGGAATGGCATAAATGATTTACGGAATACTGTCCAATTATACTAGGTTTTATGCTAATTAGAAGTGTATATGAGTGCACAATCCAATTATTTTTGTGTAGCCAGTGGTGCAAAAAAATTTCAAATGCGAAGAGTATTTGAATACAAAGTTAGTGTTTATCGTGGATTGTGAAATTGTAGATCCTTGACCATTTGCCTTTTCCGGATCGATGCCCTTTCTGGTTTTCAAAACAATGTTCTCACATGCCAAACTTTACGTAGAATATATATATATATATTTTTTGGTGTCACCTTTTAAATTTGAACTAAAAGTTTTTTAGTTTCAGGTTGTTGAAGAGAACTTATGTGATTTTTAACTTATCAACGCAGGATTTTTTGTTGATTTTTTTTTTTTTTTTTTTTGGGTTCTAATTTTGGAAAATGGTAATTTTTAATATATTTCATAATCAAGATAGTTTTTTGGTGTTTTAAACGTTACCTAGTAAAACCTGAAATAATATTTTCAAATGATGCATTTACAAATTTTTTGGATTAAATATTTGACTAGCTTATGTTTAATGGTGGGTAAACTGCATAAACATATATTTATACTTACCAGAAAGAGAAACCAAAATCTCTTATGTTTCTTCTCTTGTGCGACTTACCATCAGAAGCTAGACAATTAGACAAATGTGGTATTAAAAAATCATGACTCACAAAGGGGTACAAAGATCTTGATTGTTTATTATCAAACTTCTCAAAGGGGGTTTGAAGTACTTGTTAAATGTAAAATTCAAATCACGATATCTATCTATATAAAAAGAAGATCCTTAAAGGGAACTAAAATTATTTTTAAATTTCATTGTGCATGTATAAGTAAATTCACAACAACTGCATGCAACAGAGTCTAAATTGTGGACATTGGAAGCAAAACATATATTTGACAAAGAAACAGTTGTAACCTTGGCTTCTGTAGAATCACAGCGGCAGAGGCTTAATTCAGAGAATTGTTGCTGTTGTTAAAAAATTGATTCCCAATATTTTTCCTATGATCGTGTGAATTTTTGCTTTATAGGTTGAAGGTAAAATGACATTTTACGAGAGTGCAGCCACTATTTTTTGTAGTATTGAAGCCAAGGTTGTGAGTTTGAGAAGTATCAGAAAGAGTGATTCAACTCCACTTAGGTAATGTGACATTAATTGATAGGTAAAACACATTTTGTTTAACCTATCAACTAATACCACTCTGAAATTACAACCCTAGTGGGGTTACGAAACATTATTCTATCAGAAAGTATTTGCTTTTATAGTTTTTAACGTAATGGCTTCCAATTTGGTGTAGATGGTCTTGGAGAAATACCAGAAAGAGGCTGCTCCTCTCAATCACTCTTGATATTAAACAGAATACTATTTCATTAAGGTATAATATTTTCTGTAATTTCTAATAGATTACATTTTCAAATAATGCATTAAGACCCATGGGTAAGTTTTTCACTTTCATATACGAATTGATGATTATAAACACTATATTAACAGTGGAATTGATTTCCTACCTTCAGTGGACAAGATAAAAACTTATCGCCGTTAATTTGGCAAGAGAACCCTAATTATGATTATCTGAATTTATGAGTATTTCAAAGACAACCTTAATTATGATTTTCTGAATTTATGACTATTTCAAAAAATCATAATTAAGGTTCTCTTATTGCTTCAATCATGGGAAATTGATCAGGCTTGATGTTAACAGCTGGTATGTTGGGGAAATGGAAATTCATACCAATTTTTAATTTAAACACCTAAAACAAAAATCACAAAGGAAATTAACGAAAGATTAAAGCATTTTTATACCCAAATTCACTGGAAAGATTATTATTTTGATAAACAAATTGAGATGTGTGATTTTATCTAATAAAAACTAATATCATCTTACAGATTTAAAGACGAGATGAAGGCGGAATTGATTTCCGAATAATCTTCTTGCTGGCGACTTGGTTCCAACTGAGGGTGAAGTGCGTAGGAGTCAGAAATTGAGAATAGGTAGATACTCACAGCACTTCGTGGATCTACTGATAATGGACGAAACACCAGTTCAATATCTTCTCCGTCTTCATCCAGAGCAAGAGGGACTCAGTAAGCAGGAGGCAGTTCGTGCAAAGCTTGGAAAGTTTGGGCTCCCCAGCCATAACCACCTCACACCAATTGCTAAATTGTCCGGAGGGCAGAAAGCACGGGTGGTTTTCACTTCCATTTCCATGTCTAAGCCACACATTCTGCTCTTAGACGAGCCGACAAATCATTTAGATATGCAGAGCATTGATGCACTGGCTGATGCACTTGATGAGTTTACTGGCGGAGTTGTGCTAGTCAGTCATGATTCTAGGCTTATATCACGTGTTTGTGATGATGAAGAAAGAAGTGAAATATGGCTGGGGGAGAATGGCACGGTTGAGACTTTCCCAGGCTCATTTGAGGAGTACAAGGAGGAGCTTATCAAGGAGATCAGAAAGGAGGTTGATGATTGATGTGGCATGTATTCCTGGTTCAATTTTGGGTGAGAGATACGATTTTACTAGTGTTTTGTATGAATGAGCTTTACTTGTAATGTTATAAATATCCATCTTTCGCATGGTTGTCGTTTTGAGGTTATAAGAACCATTCATTTATATTATCACTCACTCACTTGCGCTCTTTCTTGATTGATTGTCAAGGAGATGGATCAGTTCAAGAAGCACTCTACAGTGCCTTTGCTTATGTTTGTTTTATTCTTAATGGATTTATGTATTTTGTTTCATATTTAATGTCATTGTTTTATATTTTGCCTCATTATAATTCATTAGCACCCATGGTAGACTTGCAGAACTTTGATTGCACTGTATCTTTTTTTGCTTTAGATAACAAAACATCATTAATTTTGAAGCCAAGCATTTACAGAAATTCTTCACTCCATTTCCATACCTCATAGTTTGAATGAGCTTAAAAGCTAGTACAATTTCATGTACCATCTGGAATTTGTTATGTAGGTAATCAAATAGTATTCTCCTTCCTGCACAATACAATCATTCTTTGTCATTGGAAATGAATGACGGGTTTGCCTGTTCCCAGCTTCTGATGACTGAACATTCTCAGAAATTTCGAAAATTATGATATGTTTGTTGTGTTCTATGGCATGTATATGGTTGAGTCGAGCCATATTTTGGCCAGCACTCTTAGTTTATTTGGAACTTGATGGCAATGAGAATTAATTGGTAGAGATGGATCCACATCTTTGATAATGTTCAACAAATTAGTGTATGTTGGTACAATATTATATTGGACGGAATAATGAATTTGATTTTAATTTCTTTTTCTTCCTAGACGAGTCATCCAGTAATACCCAGTTCTCCTGCCACGCCAGAAGTTTTTGAGGTTCGTTAGCCACAGTCTGCAGTCAAATTAGAGGTTTATATTGTTATTATCTTTTTGCCCTGACAGCCCTGTTATTTGTACATAATATTATACTGTTGAGCATGGTTGTGGAGAAACTTATTTAAAATTTAAGATAAATGGAGACAAACCCTTGGTCTTGTTGACTCTTCAGGGAACAATATATGAGGTCTTTGCTGTAAAGGTGTGAAATTTGTATGGCATTGTTTGTATGAATAAAGCTGAACTGTCAAAAGAAATTTAACATAGGAATTGATAGATATACACATTGTTGTGGGACTCGGTTGCATAAAAAATTTACGAAAAAAAGTGAGCCCTCCCTCTAACGTGAGTATTCTGTCGGGGGGTTGGTCATCCATTTTCTGGCATTGTAGCAAGTCTATTGTTTGTATAGGGTTTTCAAAGAAGAAAGTGAAAAAATATAGAAAAACTCATCTCGATCCCAATAAATATGACTCAACTGTGGAAATCTTGTTTCGTCACATCATTAGGTTCATTAATACATCATCTACAAAGACTCAATGAAAACAAGCCCTTTGCATAGTAGGCTATGTTCATCTCTATCTATTCCTAAGCTTCATGCTTGAATGACATTTGCTTCTGCGAATGAAACCTCAGTTGGGTCCGTGCAACATGTAATATCCAATTGACGAAACCAATTGAAAAAATGGTATTTTATGCTTTTATACAAATAATGGAGCACTCATTCTAGTGAAGATTTTCAAAATTGATAGTATTTGTAATGAGTAATCGAATACGAATTTGAAAAAAGATTATATCTTCATATAGATATTTATAAGCTCTATGAAACAATTAATTAGAAATACATTTTGTACGATAGCCCCCATCTGATGGAAAAATGATCACATTATGCTATCACAGTCTATTATTACATAGCAATTCAAGCTTGCTTATGTTCTGAAAGGCTGGGGACTCTGGTGCCACATTTAGTAGGTTGGGAACCTGAATGCCATTCTTAGCAAAGGTGAGCGACCTGCGTGAAATTTATCCAAGTTGTTTTCCTAAAAAAAATAAAAATAAAAATAAAAGGGAAAACTGTCTCTGCGTACTAGTACACAACGGAAATAAAACATTGCCTTATTTGAAAATTTCAAATCAAAATTTCCTGTAACAAATCTGAAAGACACCACAAGTAATGTAATACACTACAAATATAACTCGCTGACAAAAATAATCTGACTATTTAAGGCCTTGATAACTACATGTCCACAAAGTGATACAGGTACGAGATAACACAGTAGTAGTGAACTACAACGTAAACTCAAATGCAACCAGTGAGAAGGAAGAACTTTACAGCCGGATTGAAGGGTCGATCCCAAAACATAATAATGCATCATACGGTCCTTCAATCAACATGCGCATCCTCCTGACTGTTGTTGTGACACAGACGCATTTGTGTTGCTCGACTTGAGGTTGACATCAACCATGTCCTCTTGCTTTGCTGAGGATAGCGTCTCCATTCCTGGCAAGGCTGCAGCAATCTTGCGAAATAGTGCCTGAAACAATTGGCCTTTAAAGTTTTAGTATTGCATCTCTACTGAGCTTCTAAAAAAAGGAAAAAGAAGTGCAACTGTTGATCTGCCATCTATCAGGTGTTATTATGATGGAATAAAACCAACACTTTTGCCAAATTGTAATCAGAAGGAAACATATCAGAAAAGGTCCCATCATATTTATAAAGATTTAGTCCATCACTCAACTTGAACATTTGAAAGTAGAATCCATTACCGCTACTGCCACCTACCTTTATATTGAAGCCAGCCTTGGCACTTGTTTCAATAAACATTACATTTAGGTCACGAGCTTTGGCCTCTCCTTCCTCTATTGAGACTTGCCTAAATTGTTACCATGCACATAACGCATTAGAGTAGAATAATGTCAAAAGGAATTAAATACAAGAGCATTATCCTGATAAATATACTAGATATGATTCAAACTAATTCAATTTCGCTTTCATCATTGTAAAAACAATGCCAATAACAGTTTAAACTGATACTTAAATCATTAAATTGATCAATGAGCAAAGGTAGACCTAAATACTGATGCTAAGCAGAAACACATTTATTATCAAGTCATTCATGTCTCCTTGACCATTTGATGAAAGTTTACGAAAAAATAAAAATCAAAAATCAAAAGATTAGGAATCCAAATACAGTACGCATATTTTGAGCATTTCTAAATGAGCAAGCACTGACATAAAACAAACTTAAGGTTTATCAAACAGAATAATTTCACAATTATCTCCTGCACTATTACAGTAAAAAGCTTGCAATTTTACCCAGATAGTAATTTCCATAACCTCAGGTCCTCAGTAATAATATTTTGTTTTATTCTAATTGCTCGTAATTCCATTCATGGTTCAACTGCTGAGTTAGGACATTCATCCCTCAAATAGAGGTAACAAAATAACATAAATCAACAGCAGAAAAATATCAATTTAACAGTAATATCATACATGAAAAACAAAAATAAGGGAACACAAATATCATTCATCCCTCAAATAGAGGTAACAAAATAACATAAATCAACAGCAGAAAAATATCAATTTAACAGTAATATCATACATGAAAAACAAAAATAAGGGAACACAAATATCATTCATCCCTCAAATAGAGGTAACAAAATAACATAAATCAACAGCAGAAAAATATCAATTTAACAGTAATATCATACATGAAAAACAAAAATAAGGGAAAAATTAACAATCGCTGTACCTCTTTTCCACTAGGTCAGTTTTATTGCCAACTACCACAATGATGACATCACTGCCTCTCTCAGTGCGAACCTCCTCAATCCACTTTGAAGTGTTGAGGAAGGACTGCCTGCCTAGAAGGCATCAAAATAATAGGTAGAATTATCATCAATGCACATTTATAGAGCGAATATATAACACTCAATTAAAGTCAGCAGACATGAGAAAGGATTGGGAAATACAACCACCGTATGAACTCTTTTTCATGTGGTCATAGGTAGTTTCTTTAGAAAGAAATAGGCAACCATCTTTTTCTCTAAATTCTCAATTATCAAATTGTTATTTCAGTTTCTATGTGTGGTGTGACCATAAAATTACACTTTATAGGAAGATTCATACTTGCAACATCGTATACAATGACTGCAACAGAGGAGTCCCTTATGTAGCTTGGAATTAGACTCCTGAATCTTTCTTGTCCCGCAGTATCCCTGCACACATAATAATATAAAATAAAGTTCCCAAAGTATACAACTTTGCAAGAAATCCAAAGGAAATAAATCCAAAATTGGGGGTACAGTGACTGCATACATGCCAAAATGTGATTTATGACTATGCTTAGGGCCTTGCAGAAAAGAGAACATGAAATTACATGAACTAGCTCTCGAACACCTCTTTACCAGTACAGTCCCACTATAGAATAAGAAAGAGCTTTGCATGCCACCGTATACAGCCTTGACTGATAGGCCCGGTTGCAACATGGGATGGGAGAATGTGAAAAGGCATAGATTTCATAAATATAATCAGGATATGATATCAAACAGTGTACAGAAGAGTATGCACAAACGAATTAGCAGCTCAATAGTAGCATCTGCAATCTCTTCGACCCATAAATCAACCAAAGTGTCACTGTAATCTTTTGACCAATGATGATAAAAACTAGCAGGAGAATGGTTGCAATGTACTATAATTTTAACGCTCAGCATAATGATCGGTACTGCAACTATCTTAACCAAGCACGACACTATTACATATATGTTCAATATATGGTGGCATTATTTAAGCAAGAAACATATCTTACCAAAGCTGCAATCTTACTGTTCGATCTTCAAGGTACATTGTCTTTGAAAGGAAGTCGATACCAATAGTAGCCTGAAAAGCAATTAAAGGAAATCAAAACACATAAAGAATTTGTCACCTATTGCAGGACAGTCGCTGTTTAGACATGAAAAGTCCACTTTCAAGAGTATGCCATGCGTATCATAAAACTATTTCCCTTCTTTATTCGATATTTAATAAAACATGCAATCAAATAGACAAAATTTAATCATGTAATATGTAATTCAGTGAGTGCTCATATTGAACAAGAAGTTCTCTATGGGTATTTCGATCATTCATAACGACAATACAATTTTAGTTATGGTTGGTAAATGGAGGATAAATACAAGAAAGGTGAATGGAAAGAACTTGGATCAACAAATTAAGAGCATGTTTGGGAGTGATTTTGAGAAGTGATTTTTTGACCGTTAGGAGAAAAGTGGGGTCCACCTGTGAGAGAAGAAGTCAATTATGACGGCTGAAATAGCTAAAAAATGATTAAAAAAATCAATTTTTTTGGGGAAAAAATCAATCCTAAACAGGCTCAAATAACTAAATGCCAAAGCATAAGTAAAATGCATCTAAGATTGCTGTTAGAATTCAGATTCAGATATGATTGTAAGAATTAATCACACGAAATAAACTACTAGATTTCAATGAGAAGTTTTAGATGTGAACTAGGAAGTAGCAAGAGAACAAGTTGGTTGCTTGAAGATAAACATGTCCAATCTTAAATTTTAACGTTTTGAACAAAGAAGCTTGAATAATTTTGAAGAAAGAATCACATCCCCTACAGCAGGTATTCCATTTCATTCTTCTACAACTAAACAAATTGTTGCTTTAATTTTTGCATTAAAATCAACAGATCCAAAAGAGGGTATCATTTCTCTAAACTGATCGAGACTTTATATAATATTCTAGTTACAAAAAAAATAGACTTAGACTAATGTCTATTAATACATAAGATCATTCATGATAAGTACCAAATTACACACTATCTCAGCATCAGATGACTAAGATGAGATCATTGATATAAACAAGAACTCATTAGTCATTACCATAAGATCAGTAACCAAATTAAAAGAAATCTAAAACTCATCCCGGTGTGAATATACTAGTTAGTAATATAAACAAATCACAATAAATTAAAAAGGAAACTAAAAACTCTGAAAATGCGAACTAATTAGAAACTTTAGCAGTCAGATCCGTACTCTTCGAGCATATTAATACTTACATAAAATCAAATTTTGATGGCGATTAATCGATCTTTACCTGATAAGTGTTATCGAATTTATCGTACATGAATCTTGTGATAATACTAGTCTTTCCGACCGATTGATCTCCTAAGAACACTAATTTGTACTTCGCGAGAGCTGAAACCGGAGCCATCAATCAAATCCAGAAATGTCCAATGAATTGAATTCGGATCTTCTGTAAATGGAGCGGATCGGATTTTCCGATTGAGGTTTAAGGTCTCGCAGGAAAAATGTATCGGGAGATTCCGCCGGAGAAATCGATATGGCTTCGTAAGGCTAGTCCCTCTGCGGGCTTGCGTGTTTGCTTCCTCGAAATGAGATGTTTTTTTTTTTTATGGACTCAAAAATTATTTATATGACTTTAATAAAAATAAAAATAAACACTATGTCAAAGTGTGTCATCAAAAGGCTCTTTTGACGAGATATGATCGCTATTAGTTTATCTTTAAAATCATGTTTTAAAATAATTTTTAAATTAATATTTTAATTTAGGGGACGGATTTGACTCTTCAAACTCACACTCACACTCAAACTCAAACTCAAACTCAAACTCAAACTCAAACTCACCCTCTATAATTAAAAGTACTCAAAGTAGGTTAAAATAAAAAATAAGAAAATGATAAATATTTTTGAAAGTAATAAAATTAAGTGTTAAATATAAACAGCATGCTGGAGTTTACTCTCTAAATTTATGGATGTTCTCTAAATTATAGAATATCCTCTTTTAAAAATAGAAAGTCTATTAGAAATGTTATAAAGTAAATTATTGTAAAATTTTTAATTAATTAGATTGATCGAAATTAACCTCCCATAAAATTAGAATTAGAATCGGTTCGTGTTTGGATCGAAATCGATTGCACATCAGGTTAAATATAATCAAAATTAGAACGCATATTTCGTCATGTCCTATCTAATAATATATATATGTATGTATTTTGGCCATGTGAAAGGAATATTATGAAATTAAAGATACATATACTTTCGAAAGAAAAAATCGCAGGAAAGAAAATAAAGAAAAAGACATGAAGAGGGAGTAATCAAAACAAATCTCTTTAGGACAAATTTTACCGGTGCATTGGCGTCAATCAATGTATTTTGGCGGTACTTTTCTTGAACGGAACAAAAGGGAACTTAAATTGCTTGGGTAGAACTTTCTTTCTGACTTATGTTCGTCATCATTAATTTTCATTTTATTATATTTTTTTTTTAATTACACAATTTTTCATAAAATAATATTACACGTAAATTGAAAAATTTTCCTTCTTTTTTAACCACTTATTTTTCAAAAAAAAAAAAAAACACTATTCCGCTCATTTTCATTACCACAAAATGGGGACCAAACGGGGGCTGAAAAATAATCTTGACATTTTATTTCAAAAAGTAATTTGGATAGAATTTTTGAAGAGATGTGAGCTAGAAATCAAATTAGTATTGTCATTGATTTGGGGTGTGAATGAGGGATTCGTTTATATAGAATATTAAATGCCTCTTGAGAATGGATACACCTTAGGCTCCTCAACTCATCGAGACGAAAATACGCTTTAAAAAAATAAATTTTAAAAAACGATGACCATACAGGGGATAAATAATCCAAATTAGTGCTTGACCTAATAATGGACCCAATTAATTATAACAAGAATCGCTTGAAAATACGATCATGATTACAAGAAGCTTCATCAAGAGAACGATTCGATATGCAAAGTTTAGTAGATATAGCAAAGCATAGAAGAATTCGTAATCGAAATTTCTACATATATTTCTCTCACACTCCTCACAAGGTCGGAAGGGAACGACAAGTTGATCCTTGTGAGTGAGTATAATTTCATATTATAAAAATAGAACCGATAAAACAAAACATTTAGACATAATTCCACTGCGTCAAATGGCAGCCTTGTGAATTCATGATGCAGCTAACAGAAATGCTTGAACTGATATGCTCTCAAAATCCTTTCTAGTATGGCTTCGACTCGGTAGATATCGGCAAGGGGCGAAAGCCATGTTTGAGACTGGCTTGCCAAATTTTGTCAATGCTGAACATCATATTACCACACTCATTGACATTCCAGTCTTCTAAAGCATGCAGTATCCCGGCTACACGCCATGCGCTCATCACCCTCCTCGGTAACCAGTTCTGTCGTGCAATATCGAAAGAAAGTTTTCTCAAATTTAGTGTCGACCGCCTCATTTAAAAGGCGAAACTATTAAAAGAGAGAGCTTGATTTCTAACCTCACAAGAGTCTACATTCTCAAGATTCTTAGGAGTCAAAACTGCTGGTGTGTTATGGTAGAAGCAGTCTTTACGCAGTTTTTTTGGAGGAAATTGTGAAAAGGGAATGAACAATGCTCCTTTTGATGCCTTCATTTGTTCATTTTCGCTTAATCCATCTCCCACCAGCCATGTCTGCAAAAATAACATTGTAAATTAACTATGTATAATTTTATAACCACAAAAGCGGATAAAAAACATAATAATAAAGGATTTATCACCTTTGGAACATTTCCTTTGCAGAGGACCAAATTATTTCCAGCCTCATTGCTGAGCCTTGTTTTTAGATTCTTATACTCTTCCTCTTGTAACATATTTACCTACAATTATCGCAAGTTAAATAAGAAAGCCAAAGAAAAGGACAAAAGGCTTGATTGATCCCCGTAGGAGTTTGTGTCACATCTTAGTACCAGTGTGAGCGATCATTCTCTCAAATCAACTACTCACGGGTTTAATCTATGTAATGTATTGCCATGGCTATGCATTATGAATTCGTGTGTAGTTATATATGTCTTTTGAGTCTGAAATTCGTGTGTAATTAAGACAATTTGTTTATAAGCACTTCAAATACCTAGCTAATTCGAATTTTACCTCATGATTTTGTATCTTTTTTGTACGTGTTATAGAAATGATTAATGTAAGAAATAAAGGAACTATAGAAATATTTGGGCTAAAGCCGCATATATTGCAAGTAATTGGACAGTGGATGGAGGATATTTAGGTGCACAAGAAATTAACCATTTGTCGCACTAGAGTGGACACAATGAGGCAAGACAACCGGCACATTATGTGTCAGACGTTTCTCATTCTTGAGTACAAATCGAGTCTTGCTTACCAAACTTCCCTAAATTTCATCAGTTTGTAGGCCATGATTTTATGATGATTAAATAAATGTACCTTGATCCCCTCTTGGCATAATGCATGAGCAATGGCATAGGCAACCTTGGATAATTTGCCTCTTAGAACCACTCCATCTGTTCCTTTAGGAATGCTATTTAAAACAACAGCAACTGCCAAACTACTCCCATCTATCAACTTCACTTTTAGTGAAGGGTACTTTCTTATGTAAATTTCACCATTTCTATTCAGCTCCTCTTCCTGCACAATTACATGTACATTCATATTTACCAAGAAAAAGCCTCACGATAAAACAAGATACAATCTCATATAACGTGCTTGAAATCCTTTTTTCCTCTCTAACCGAAGGATCTATCACTCTCTTACGTCATAAACACAGAATTTTAAAGAAAAGGACTCCTTGTTTTTTGTTCGTTTATAAATAAGCACCTTTACGAAGATTTTGAATATGTTTTCCTAAGTTTAAAAGGTTAACCTATAAGTTACTTTGAAAGTAACCCTATTTTTATATTCTCAAATGAAGTAATATTTTTTAAGAAAAAATTAGTTTATAAAGAATAGAGTTGACAGTGGAACAACAACTTGCCTGATTCAATAGGCCAAGGCTCAAAACCTTGGTGCCCTTCACTTCAGCTTCAAGTATAGCCTCCTCAATTAGGTTATTGATGGACTCTCTTTGCCATTGCAAGCAGTACTAAAAATGTAGTAAGATTATAAATTGATGACGAATAGAAACTCGTACATACTAAACAAAACACTACAACTACGTTCTTACTTGTATTTTGTATTTCGGGATAGCCCAAGTTTGCAACTTGAGACGCTTGAAGACATTTCTCTCGACCGTAAAAGTTCGACCATAAATCCAAGTTACCATCATGGACCAAAGTGTGACAGGCCACATTAACCGCAAGTACCAAGTAGAATTGTGAGGTTTAGAAGCTAAGGCTGCAAACCCTAAACGTAAATGGTATATGGATTCCGGGGTTGTTAAGTGTGTAAGATAAATTACATCTGGCAATTCCTCCTTTCTCTGCACTGATTTCTCGTACAATGAGTCCGTAGAACTGTCCATTGTTCCGTAGATGTAATCGTAGAATGGCATGAAAAGTGAGTAATTGGTCCGAAACTGTGTGTGATGCAACGAATGAAACCTGTTAAACCAAATTTGCCTTAAAAAGTTACTAACTATAAGTAAATGAATAAGTTTAATTCATTACTAATCTTAGTAAATATACAGCTAATTTTCATATGTTCCATAAGATGTTCTTAGTTTTTCACTAAGGTATGAAATAATTGAGAACAATGAGTCACTATCGTGGTCCATGACTTAGGGCTGGAACCATTGTCGCCAAAAAATGAACTAAAAAAAATTCCACATGAGGTGGAACCATCTGAATCTTTCTTTAAAAGCATCAAAATACATGATAAATTTGACACTAAAATAATTTAGGCACGTTTTATTGAATAATCACGTTGTCTAAAACACAAAAATATTGTTACGAAAAACACGAAAGAAGTCGAGGTACGAGGTACTTACGATGGTGTGTACATGAGATACTTGAGAGGGGGAAATATGGAGAAAAGCCAATTTGGGATGAGCTCAAAATTGCAATGGCCTAAGTTGTTCATGACATCGATGAAAGTAATATAGCCAGCAATGGAAGCAATAGAGATAGTCCCCAAACGTATAGTTATAATAATTGGTGTTGCAAACAAAGCAAAGTATGCTATGTGTTCCGCGAATGGATGGGTGACAGCTGTCAGAACATGAAAAAATTCGGGTTAATTGAGATGCATAGCGGAGAGATGGTTAATTTTGAAAATATCGAAATTTCTAAATTTCGTTAGGGATGGACATAATCGAGTATAGTTCCATTTAGAATCGCACATATCCAAAATTAAATAAATTAAAAATGAAATTGAATTGAACAAAATCTAAAGCATGTTTGGTATGGATTAAAATTAGATTTTAATCTAAATCAAAATCAAACAATCAATATCAATCATATCTTTCATAGGTCCCACAACCTTTCAATTCATAATCTACTAAAAAAATATAATTTTAATCCTCACCAAACACCCTCGTATTATTTCAATCCTATTAAGGTACCGCAAATTTGGCACATTAAATATGTACGGTTCGTTCCAGCACAAAACCTGATATATGTTGGTGAAATTTCGCTTTCAAAAGTTTATGGCTTTAATGTGGCTCCAATTTAATTTTGACGAATTTTAAGCTGGGTTGGGGAAATGGGGTGTTACTATTTATTATATTATTACAAAATATAGATAAAATTTAATAAATCTTACATGTAATTGGCTCAGTGACAATAGACGAGTGGTGGTGGGAATGGTAGCGAGAGTAGAGGAAGTGGTGGTGCAGCGCTCGATGTAACCAGTAGTAGATGAACTCGACTAGACTAGCATGAAGCAAAATTGTTATCACCACCCCGTCTGTCCTCCATATGGGCAGATTATCAGCCCCTTTGAGGTACATTGATCCCAAATAGAATAAACTCCCACTGAATATTATCTGGTCATCCCTGCAAATACTCATGAAAATTTTACTTTATTCAAAAATAAAAAGAAATGGGTTTAGTTACAATTTCATCATTGTTGTCATGTTAGTAAAAAACCTATTAAGGTTTATTAAGTAGTGTATTTGAAAAGTCAAAAATTGCTTCTGAAACTAAAAAACTGCTTTTGAATATGTTCGAATAATTTTCTAAAAGTACTTGTCCTGATTATAAGAACTTTTAGAGAAAGTTGTTTTAAGATAATTTTCATAAGGAAGCTCTTTTATAATAAGTAAAAACAAAAGATCTCATAAGTTAAAAATCGAATGGAAATTCGTGATTTGGATAAAAATGGCCGTAAATTTGATATTTAAGGCACAGTTGACAAAATGTCAAATCAAAAATTCTCAAAAGCTCGAAGACTACGGAAACGATTATTCACAAACAAAAATATAATAGACCATTTATATCAAGTGGCACAAAGTTTTAAACGAGGCAATTTAACTTGATAGCAAAGCAAACAAAGGGCCTCATTTATGAATTTTGTCATCGTTTCCTTCATGAACTAAATTTATCTATAAAAAAAAAAAAAAAAAAAAAAAAAAAAAATTTTGAGATTAACAATGGGAAAATCAAGAATTGAGAGAGAGATCTCTCACTTGCATCCTTTACCATATACAGATATGTCGCACGAATTATGAATGGACTTAAAACCAGATACTGCATTCACAAAGCACAATGAGATGATCAGTGTTAAGAATGAGATATGGTGGGGTGGAGTAGGGTGGGATAGAGTACAAGGGACAATGAAGAAAGTACAGTACCTTGAAACTCCCAAGTCTTGTCCATGGCCATTCAGTGAGAATCCCAGGTTTGGAAGCCATGTCTACTCTTTGGTCTTCACTTCTACAACTTGTGAATCTAATGAGGAACTAACTACACATACATATAGGTAGAGATATGTGTCCGCTAGAGGCATGTTTGGTATTGAAGATTGTGATTAAACCATTGGAAATTTGATTATCATAACACTTAGTACCATCCTATACTACGTAACAAGTGCACTTCTTTGTTTATTGTGGGTTAAAGAATACAATTAGCTACTCAACTTGTAAAATTATGTCATTATCGTCGTCAAAGTTTCTTTTTTTAAAATGATCATTGAACTTTTATTTCTATTTTACTCCGAGCACTTTCAGCCCATTTGACATAACTTTTGATTTAAAAAATCAAAAGTTACTTCTAATATTAAAAAATTACTCTGAATCTATATAAATAGTTTCCTCAAAGTAAAGAATCTTACAAAAAGGGTTACTAAATGAAGCTAATCCAAGAAAGTTTAATCGGGAAACTCTTCTAGTACTACGAACTGTTTTAATTATAAACCAGTTCAAACATTGACCTTAAAAACATAAATAGTACAGGTTGAACCGACATCGATCAACTTGGTGGTACATAATAAAATTTGATGTGAACTAACCACTTGACATGTACATGTCATTAATTGGCTTGTTATAACATTTTTTTAACTTTACAGGTTGTAACAAGTAAAAATATTTATTTTCTCGATTTAACTGACCAAATGTTGACGAAATTACTTTAGAATAGTCCCTTTTTCGACTCAATTCATGGAATTACTTACTACACATGGACTAGCATTTAATGACTTACTCCCGTTTCACGTTCAAGAAACCTTGGAGGGGATGTACTTCGTGATTAAATGGCTGGTTGACACTTTTCATAAGGACATTTATTTTTGTTGCCAACCCAGAACATTGGGTAGTTGAATATTAGGTCAAGTAGAATAACATACCCATGTGCTACATGCAGATAGCGTTGTCTCAATTTTCTGCCCAACTTTAGCAAGAGAGTCAAATGAATTTAAGCCAATGCAAAAGGTACGTCGTATATGATAGTTTAGGGTTTTATGGTACTTGTTTAGAATTTCTAGGTTGTTTGTCCCTCATTTAAAAAAAAAAAAAAAAAAAAATTCTTGGACTCATTTTCAGTTATATATTTTATGAAATTCACAATTTTTTTCAATTTTTTAATCAAACAATTGAGTTCAAATTTCTAGTGACGTAGAAAAATGGACCACAAGAAGTGTTTTCCCTTTTTAAGCATATTTTTTGTGGAGAGGTTGATATCCACAAAAAGTTGTCGAGGCAATGTTTTGAAAACTAGTCGAATGTTAATTGGAAAAGATAAGTGATGTAGGATATTGTCATCACTTTGCTCAAAAGATATAGCATGTGACATTAATATAATTCAATCTATATCATCCAGATTCGAGGCCACGAATTCACAATATAAGTTTAATTACAGATTCAATGCTCTAATTTCTTGACTACTGTGGACCTTTATTCCTTTATATGTCATTCGAGCACCATAATTTTAGTGTTCCAATCTATAAGTTTAAAAGCAACCTTGTTGCACCCAACAATTCCTCCATCAACATGTCATACTTGTAACTCAAACTCATAACCATAACTGTGTACATATAATCACCATCATTCGAGTGATTCATTTCCCAAATCTTTCAATTGTTATAGTCGTCACCACTAACATTTTCAACCATTGCATGTGAAACCCTTTTGGATGTTTCCATCCATTTTTTCGTCAATTGACAAAGAAAATAAAATTTGATTTTCTTTGACCAATTAAGTGGAGGGTAAAATGATGACTTTATAATATTAACATATAAAATAATAAAAATACCAATAAAAAATGGAAAAGAAAAATAAATAACCCTTCTACCAAAACCAAACTAGAAAGGCCCACCCCCATTTCACCCCGTGGACCAACCGTCGCCAACCTACACAAAAATATGCCCATAGCAGCCACCACCATCCCTTAAACCACCAAACGTCGCTACGGATGGCAAAAAAATCTGTTCAACCTGATGCCCTTGGGCCCCGCCTCGAATGGGGTGGATAATACCCACCTAACCGGGTACATGGGATGGGTATGGGGCCAGAGTCATTGTCCCGAAGCGAGTATGGGAGAGGTACGGGAAACATAGTCCCCGCCCCGTTACCCGCCTAGTTTAATATTAATTCAAATTTAACTTTTTATCAAACAAAAATAATAGATTTATTATCCATTTTAAATATAGCATAAGTTGTTTTTAACAACATGGTAAAAAGGCATTACTATTTACTAAGGACATAAAAAAATAAGTAAAAAATTAAAAAACAGAAAGAAAAAATAAATCGGGCCAGAAATGGGGAAAGAGACTTGCCCCACCTCAACCCGAACCCGCCCCGTCCCGCTTTAATCGGGTATGGGTATGGAATAAGATAACAAAAATATCCAACGGGACGGGGGTGGAAATGGCCAACCCATCCTCTACACGCCCTGTTGCCACCGGGAAACGTCGCCCACTGAAAATCAAACACGAAAAAAAAAAGAAGCAAAAATCGTGGTCTCAATTCAGCAGCGGGGGGCGAAGCAGATTTATTCACTACCAGATTCGATAGTTCTGACATTTTGGAGAATCGAATGTTTTCTCTTCGTTCATTTTCAGGCCAAAGCAAATATTTGAAGTTTCGAAAATGCAAAATTCATGGTTGCTATAATTTTCAGTCTTCTCAATGTTGAAGATGTACAGTTGTTCATCTCAGAGGAGGTGATGGCGCTGGTATAGATGGGGTTGTCAATGGTGGTGGTTGTGGAGGAAAGGAGGGAGGAAATTGTGTATTTTGATTGGGTGCTTTTTTGTTGATTTCATGTTCAACAATAATTGCCGCAAGAGAATTTATTGGTGGAAATATTGGAGGGATGGAGAAGGAACAAAAGAAATAACACAAAAATTGCAGCAACAAGACGAAGAAATTAGGAAATTGTCAAGAACAACTTCGAAGACTTGAACGCGAAATCGCTATCTTCAAACGTTATTTGCCTCCTCTTCGATATTTAAGGGTATTCCAGCAAATGATTTGAAAAATTATAATAAGCCCTGTAAAGAATTTCATGAAAGCACAAAGTAAAATTCTCCAAAACTTGAAGAATACAATAAGAGAAATGAATATGAATGTAAACCAGGATTTAATCTATGTTGAGGAATGAGGAATGAATTTAAAGTGTTTTCAATATCTCTTTGCCTTGAACATGGCTCCTTTATACATAGGCCTTGTTTATATACACGAAATGGTGCCAAAAAACTCAAGAAATCACCAAAATCAATTTTGTAACATTCAAAAAACGGCCACTAGTAGTCACAAAATAGTACCATGCGACCGCATGGTGTAATCCCATGCGGTCGCATGGTTTACTCCAAAACGCCCGTTGAAGTTTCGGGCTATAGCCATGTGATCGCATGGCCAAATAGCCTATGCGGTCGCATGGCTTAATCTTGTAGCCACCATTTCCATTTTTTTCCATACTCAATCTGTTGATTTTGAACAACCAATTCACAACGTTTGTCATCCCGAAAAATGGTGAAATCCCGTCGCATCTTGAGGAAGCCTATCTCTTGATCTGAACTTGTAAACGGATTTAATGGAATTATTTAAAGAAATTTATAGAAATGGAGGTGAAAAGAGCAATCGTTGGTAGTGGGGTAGGGTGGATTGGGAAGAAGAGGTCTTTTCTCTCCTTTTTTTTTTTCTTTTGTTATTTAATGTGGTAAATCTGATAATACCATTTTAGCCTCTTTGAAATTGATTAAAATGTGATCAAAACTAATTTTTAGGGTCAACTGACTACAAACAAGATAAAAAATCATCCGAAAGGGCTTTACATGCAATGATTGGAAAAGTTAAGGGTGATGATTTTGCAACGATTGAAAGGTTTGAGAGAAGTCTACTAGACTGCTAGTGTTTCAAATGTTTGAAACTCTGCAATTATCCCTAATTTATAGGACCATTTTGAATTTGCATTCTGCCAGCTAGCTAAATTTGTCATGCTCATATTCGGTGCAAATTATTCAAAATTTATTTTTATGTACACATTTTTTCAAAAAAATATTTTTCTCTACTTTTTAATTACTCATTTTTTTTTTTTTTGAAAGCCTGTGTGTTAATTTATTTGGTTATGTTCGATTTCAACTTATTGTGCTAAAGGTTTCTTGATTTAACAAAAAGCGGAATTTTTATAAACCATTTTTTTTCAATTTAAATTATTTCTTGTGGAAAGAATTATTTTTGCTCTTCCCAAGTGGTATGGTAGATTTGTAGTTTAAAAAATAGTCAATTCACTCTTAGTTAAATTTCAAAATATCCAAAGGAAAAGCTACGATATTTAATGCATGAACCGACTCAAAAAGTAAGTTATTTATAGAATTTATTGCATTGATTTATAGAATTTATTGCATTGAAGTTGTACACTTGCAGATTAAAGCTGTCAAGAAAAGTGATCAGACCATATGCATTTCTAGCGCCTGTTCGAGGGAATTGAAATTTAAGTTTTTAAGTAAATTTTAATAAAGTTGATTAAATGTACAGTTAAAATTTTTTAATCTCATAGGATATGTGTTTAAAATTAATTATTAATTTAAATTTAAATAAGAATTTATATTTTAATTCTTACCAAATAAAGATGCAATAATTATATATTACTAAAAAAGTAATAGGGATCTCACGTAAGTAATTTAGAGATCAGCACTGTTGACATGGGTAGTGAAAAGGTTGACCTTCAATTTTATTTATACTTTCAACAAAATTGTCCTTTTGTGGAATTTAGCCCATTTTTTATGATCATTATTGCGTAAAAATAATGTTTTGAATATTATTTTTTAAAGAATGTGCAGTTAAAAAGTAAAAAAAATTTAAATTTAGGTATAAAATATTTTTTTGTGTGAATATATAATTTAAAATGAGTATGAAAAAAAATAACTTAAAGGGTGTCAAACATGAACTTAATAAATTCTTGAACGAAACCATGAAGATGGATGAAATTATTATAAAAATTGAAGATAATAAAGAAGAGATGACAAAAAGGAAATTGAGGACGAAAGTAACTGCATTAATACATGAACGACCAAAAAGCAAATTTTTTATGAAATTTTATTGAAGTCAATGCGACAAACCTGCTAAATAGGCTGTCAGCCAAGCGATATTGTACGTATTTCCACCATTCACGCCACCGTGGTGGAGCTTTGATTTAGACTACT